AAACCTTGCTGATTGAACCTGCATGGTCTCCAGGAGTTCTTTGGGCTAGGCCTGACAATCAGAGAGTCTAGCCTAATGGGGGCAGGGAGCCCACCTTCAAGTAGTGCAGGTGGGGGAAAGTAGTTCCATTATGAGTCAACAGTGCTGATAAACCAACTGGAGTGGGTAGCAGTACAAAGGCCCTGAAAGCAGGCCCTGAGATCAGGTGAGTAGTTGCCACTGACTGGGGTGAACATTAGGGAAGATCCAAATCAAATAGCCTGCAAAGGAATTTCATATCTTTAATCACAGAGAATATCTGTATATCAGTGGATTACAACAAGGGGATTGCTGACCACCGTAGCAGACCGTTTTGGCACAGGGAGAATGGATCCTACATCCAGAGATTTTTCATGAGATCACAACAAAATGGAGATGCTCCTCTGTCAACATGTCTGTTACAGCAGACAATGCAGTGGTGAAGAACTTCTTCCACTTCCTAAGCAATTAAGAGAATGAATGAGAAAAGAGTCTCAAAACAAATATGTGAAAGAAGAGTGAATGGGTCAAGAGGAAAACCGATGAACAATGATTGCACAGAGTGGATGAAATCCTGCAAAATAAAGAGGTAAGAACTTTAAAAAACAAAACACCTGGAGCAGCATATGGATGTAATGGAAGCCAGAATGATTTGCAAACATAAAAGGAGAGGTTTAGTGAATAGTGTTGGTGGAAACTAATTTTATTTATTTATTTCTTAAACTTATAAGGCTGCCCAACTCCATCATGACTTTTAGGCATATTTCCCATTTTTACCTCATGTCTTTAATTTCTTTAGTTTATTTTTTTCCCACCTCTTTTTCTGCATAATGGCAGTTACTCAGAAAGGCAGCAGTGTGATGGGTAGATATTATTAATTTTAAGTATTTTATTTAAGTCTTTTAAAAAAAAATTTCACTTGTAAACTACTTGGGGTGGAGGAGGAGCAGTACAATACAGAGGTAAAGTAATAGCATTAGTATCAACTTAGCTGCTTTTCGATGGAAAGATTTGCAGACTGATGTACTAATGAGATGGAATGGATTTATGACTGAACACCAGGGAGCCCGGCGCACACTGACCTCATTTTCCACAGCCTCACCTGCCAGACAGAATTGGGTAAAAGAAAAAGCTCACAAACCAAGGCATTTTCACAACTGAAACTAAAACTAAAACCATTCAGCTATTTCCAAGCACCAGCTCACAGGAGCAGAACAGAAGAGCAGATTTTCAAACCCTTGATAGGTTTGAGCAAAGAAGTTGAAAAGCAGTGTGAGGTGTAAGTCTGGGACAAGGAATAAGCTTTCGCTCCATTAAGCCTCGCCAAGAACCAATTAAGCAGCCAAGGGAATAGACCAGTGTTGTCCAAACTTGGCCACTTTAAGATGAGTGGACTTCAACTCCCAGAATTCCCCAGCCAGTTCTGGGAGTTGAAGT